TTACCCACATACATGCCACAAGATGCGCAGAACCAAACATCTGGGTCCTGGTGCAACCACAGCTTGTGGGAGGGGTGGGCCCACCCCCCAGCAATGTGTAGCCTCGCACCCTCGGAGAGTCCTCGAAGACAGCCGTCAATAGCTACAAGTCTGAAGCAGTCTGTCTTTCTCCATGCACGGGCCAGGGACACATCAGCTGAGCTTCGACGGCGGCGGTAACGACGCCCCGAATCGTCCAAAACTTGGCTGGACTCAAGAAGGGAAACAGCTTCAGCTGAAGACGGCGCGGGGGGAGGCCCAGGAACAGGAGCCGCGGGCGCGGGAGGGAGGATGGTTGGCTCACCAGCGCTCTCGCCACCCGCGGGGCCCACGAGGCCCGAACCCCCACGCCGCCAGAACCTACGGTGAGACCCATCAGGAGCCTGCTCGCTCTAGCCCCTGTCCTCGGCGGTTACAGCGTCAAGCGTTGACCTCAGGATACGCATGCGAAGCCAAAACATGTGATGCTCAAGCTGCAAAATGGGGCTCCGCACACTCACCGAGAGCCTGTGCTGCTCAGCCCCCCCAGCTCGCCAACACATCAGCGAACACCTTCCCTCCCACGAGCCAGGAGGCCCCTTCTCCAGCAATCGCGTCCTAAACTTCGGGGTGGCCAAAGGTGAACATTACCGTCACACGCCCTCTCTCCCGGAGAGGCCATTTCGATGCCGACCTCCGCCCACAAGTCACCGTTCTCTCCAGCTGGCTTGGTATCCTTACCGCTGTGCCAACCATCAAACACTGCCTTATTATCCGCGACGTGAGGGGGAGGAGGAGGAGGAGGAGGAGGAGGAGGAGGAGGAGGAGGAGGAGGAGGGGGAGGGGGAGCAGGAGGAGAAGGAGGAGGAGGAAGAGGAGGAGGGAAGAGGAGGTGAGGAGCAAAAGGAGGAGGAGGAGGAGGAGGAGGCAGACTACGACGAGGAGGGAGAGGGGAATGAGGAAAGGCGAGAGAGGAGAACAAGGGGGCGCAGCAGGATGGGCCGAGGAGTACAGTCCTCGTGCTACCGAAAGAAGCGTTGAATAAGGATCGAATGAGCTTTTCTGGCCACGCCGCAAGCCTGGGACAACGAATCGTTTCACCGCCTTAGATCCCCCGAACACCATAGCCCCTCCTGAACTTAAGTACTGACGATGTCAACGTATTCTCTGCAGTTCGGGGGGAACAGCGAATTACATAAACATCGTCTGTTCGACGTCGGCGCGGACCGCCCAACATTCATGGTTATGCCATTGCTTGCTCTTCGCAATTCGCCGCGACACGCTTCACGGGCAATCGGCTAATCGTCTAACCGGTTTCCGCAAGAACGCGAAACGGACACACGGATGAATAGCAGACACAGCTCTAGACGCAGCACTACGTTGTTCTCATCACCATTGGCGACACTTGCAATGGCTCGCCACACGTGATCCAACAAAATCGATGGGCCTGTTTTCCACAACCACCACCATAAATCGGAGGTGGTAAGGAGGACAATGAACCACAGAACCGAACCGCGAGCCACAAAACCGAACCGACCGAGGGAGAACCGACGGAACCGGAACCCGTCAGAAACCCGACGTGAACCGAAACCAAACCAGACCGGAGGCGGTGGAACCGAATCGGGCCCGAACCAGGAACCGAACCGGGAACCGGTCGTGGAGGTAGCCTTGAAGTAGGCTTTGTTGAAGGCCGCTGGGGTTCTCACGAGATCTCACGACGCTTCTGGCCCGTTCGGCTGGCGAATTTCGGCTGGGTCCAACGGATCCCGTGTGGTGGTAGGAGCCTGTCTTGACGACGACCAGGCCCCTGGCTGCGTGCCGACCTGCCTTATGGACCGGGGCGCGATTGGCCCGCTGCTGTACGAGAACCCCCCCCTCTCAGCGAAATAAGCGCCACCGCGAGTCATAGTGCATCGCGGAGGAGGGAGGAGGGAGGAGGAGGAGGAGGACGACGACGAGGAGGAGGAAGGAAGGAGGCGGGCTGAGGATCGGGGCGGAAGACTGGGGGCTTCCAGCTCGCAGTCATCGTCCATCAAGTCATATCCACAATCATCGCAGTTGTCATGTTGGTTCTCTCCCCCACAACAACATCCTTCCTACTCAATGGTAGTCGAATTTTGCGTTGGGATTTCCAGGTGGTGTTCGGGGCTTCCAGGTCTGCACTGGGGACGGAAAGACGGCGAAAAAACTCAAATCGCATTTTTGGACGGTTCAGAAATGTGTTTTTTGTTTCCAGGGCCGGAATGGAAACGGAAGGGCGGCGGAAAAGCTCAAATCGCAGTTTTGGACGGTTCGAAAATACGCTTTGGGCTTCCAGGGGTCCTGGGGACCTCCAGGGCCGAACTGTGGACGGAAGGATGGCGGAAAAACTCAAATCGCATTTTCGGACGGCTCGAACATGTACACCCCCGGTCAATATTTAGAAACCATGAAATAAGACATTTCGGGGCTGAACTGGGGAACGGAAAAAATAAGAAAGTAGGGGTTCAATTCCGAAGCAATTTCTTAGCCGGCCGGCGCTCTCAATGCCGTGGCGCGTCCGTTGGTTTTTGCTCACGTGCCATTGCGCGTGGCAGCGCAGGGCGCGCGGACGCACAACGGAGACGCCGACCTCTGGCTCGCCCGAATGGCGCCGGCCTCCGGCCCGCGTTGGTTTTTGTCTACGTACGATTGCGATTGGCTGCGCCAGTGCGCGCCCCAAGACGCCAGGCGGGACCTGGGGGGGCAAGCACAATCGCAAATAATCGAAAACCAGCGCCAGCGAGCCAGGGGGGTCGCCAGGCGTCCTTGTGCGGGCCCACAATCACAAATAATCGAAAACCAGCGCCAACGAGCCAGGGGGGGCGCGCGGCCGCCAGGCGTTCGTGGGCGAGACCTGGGGGGGCAAGCGCACTCGCAAATAATCAGAAACCAGCGCCAGCGAGCCAGGGGGGTCGCGGCCGCCAGGCTTCTTTGTGCGGGCCCACAATCCAAATCATCAGAAACCAGCGCCAGCGAGCCAGGGGGGGGCGCGCGGCCGCCAGGCGTCCTTGGGCGGGCCCACACTCGCAAATAATCGAAAACCAGCGCCAACGAGCCAAGGGGGGCGCGCGGCCGCCAGGCGTCCTTTGGGCGGGACCTGGGGGGGCAAGCGCAATAGCAAATAATCAGGGACCAGCGCCAGCGAGCCAGGGGGGTCGCGGCCGCCAGGTTTCCTTGTGCGGGCCCACAATCGCAACTTATCAAAAACCAGCGCCAACGAGCCACGGGGGGCGCGCGGCCGCCAGGCGTCCTTGGGCGGGACCTGGGGGGGCAAGCACACTCGCAAATAAGCAGGAACCGGCGCCAGCGAGCCAGGGAGGTCGCGGCCGCCAGGCGTCTTTGGGCGGGGCCACAATCGCAACTAATCAAAAACCAACGCCAACGAGCAAGGGGGGGCGCGCGGCCGCCAGGCGTCCTTTGGGCGGGACCTGGGGGGGCAAGCACACTCGCAAATAATCAGGAACCAGCGCCAGCGAGTCAGGGGGGTCGCGGCCGCCAGGCTTCCTTGTGCGGGCCCACAATCGCAACTTATCAAAAACCAGCGCCAACGAGCCAGGGGGGGCGCGCGGCCGCCAGGCGTCCTTGGGCGGGACTTGGGGGGGCAAGCACGAGCGTAAATAATCAGAGACCAGCGCCAGCAAGCCAGGGGGGTCGCGGCCGCCAGGCTTCCTTGCGCGGGCCCATGGTTGGGGTCGGGGGCGGAAGCCTGAGGAATCATGTTCCCGGAAGGCTTCCTGGGAACATGATTTGTTGGGGTGTCGTTGGGCGCCTCCGGAGGCTTCGGGGCCTGACGCGTTTCCGAACGTGGCGGCAGGTAGCGCTGCTTGGAACTCTCGTTTTTTTTTCCTGACAGGCGTTTAGGGAACATGGTTTGGGCAGAAGGCGGCACCCCGAGAATCATGTTCCCGAGAAGCTTTTTGGGAGCATGATTTGTTCGGCTCTCATAAAGGGGGGCCTCTGGGGGCTCACCGAGGAACACTTTTTGGCCTTGTCGGCAAGCCTATTGGAAACATGGTTGGGGCGGTGGGCGGAAGCTCAAGGAAGCATGTTCCCCGAAAGCTGTCTGGGAAATACGATTTACCGAGGTGCCTTGGGGGCCCGCAAGGGGCTTCCCTGGGGGCCCCTCGGGGGCCTGTTGAGGCTTCCGGGGGGCCTCTTGGGAGCCTCGCGGGGCTTCTTGGGAGCCTCTTGATGGCCTCTCGGGGGGGGTCCTAGGAGCCTCTCTGCCCGGAGACCTTGAAATGTCGCGCTCTTCGGGCCCTCCTGGGTAGCTCTTGGGGCTCTCTTGGGGCGCTCTCGAGGTCCTCTTGAATTATCTGGGGAGCCTCCTGGGCCGTCTCTGGGCTTTCTTGGGAGCCTATTCGGCCGTCTTGGAGCGATCTGAAGGGCCTCTGACGCCGTCCGCGACCGTGGGGAGGCGGAACATGCGAGAGCGCAAAAATGCTTTAAAAACCATCGGACAATTTATGATTTTCGGCTTCTGGGGCCCGTTGGAGGGGCTTCTGGAGACGCTCTTGGGACGTTTTGGCGGCGTCGTCGGCCGTCCTGAGGCCATCTTCGGCGTGTCTGGGGCCTCTTGGGGCTGTCTTGGCAATATTTAGGGCCCTCTTGGCGTGTCGTGGCGTGTTTGGGAGCGGGCCCGGGCAGTCCCGGGAGCCCTGGGACCCCCCCAATCTCCTCATATGGTGGGGTACGGCACCGGGCCGGGCCCCCCCCGGCCCCTTCTTGGAGCCGTCTTGGGGACCTCTTGGGCCGTCATGTGGGCCTCTTGGATCGTCTTGGGGTTGTCTTGGGCCGTCTTGGGAGCGTGTCAGGCCGTCTTGGGGCGGTCTTTGAGGCCTCTTGGGCGGTCTTGGAGCGTCCGGTCGCCGAAAAGGCGAGAATCCCAAAAACCTTCAAAAACCATTGAAAACAATACAATGAATTTTGCCTCTTGGAGCCCTCTTGGGACGCCTCTTTTTAGCCAGGGCAACCCCTACGCCCACACATGGACCACCGTCTCATCATGTATAGCCAGCGGTTTGCACTGATGGCTGGGCCTCTGACTACAAGCAATCTTGCATCGCTTCTCTGCTCCTCCAGCTCTTATAGAATTTGAACATGCTCATGCGTGAGTGTGAAACGATGGGGATGTCTAAGCGATCAACCCTGCATAGTGACTCTCCGCGGCCAGGGGAAATCCCCAGCCAAGCATGCAAGGCAACGACTGCAAGGCTGAAAACGTTGACACCACAGTGGGCAACCGCGCAGACCCAGCGACCCAACTTGATCGTCGAGCGCAGCGCGCCTGCTCGCAGGCTGAGCAGGGGAAGGGGAATGCACGAACACTTCCGCACGAGCATCGGTGTGACCATGCTTCGTTCGCCATATGTTTATAGCACTCAATGTGGGAATGGCGCAGTACATGCCGCATCCCTCGGACCGTTGCGCAATCAAGCGCTGGAAAGACTGCTGCGTCGCGAATGAAGGTAAACTTGCGACGGGCAGCATGAAACGTATCGCATTCACGCTCCGCGCTCCCATCCGCCCTACTTGTCGCTGATCAGTATTTCTCCGTCCTTCTCCTCCCCACCACTGCCTCTTGGGACCGTTCTTGGGGCGCCTCTTGGAGGCCTCTTGGCGCGTTCTGGAGGCCACTTAAGCCGTTTTGGGATCATCGTGGGCGTCTTGGAGCGATCTTTGGGCGTCTCGTGGCCTTCTTCGACCATCTGGGGGGCCTCCTCGGCCCGTCTCCAAGCTGTCCTGGTCCGTTTTGGGGCCGTCCGGGAACCCCTGGGGACGGCCAGGGGACCACGCATATACAAGGGGGGTCGCTGCCCGGGGCCCGGGGCCCGGGATCTCCCATATGTATATATATATATATATATATATATATATATATATATGCATATCATGTGCAGTACATGTACATGTACATGTATTTATGTGTATATATACATACATTGATATACGCATATATATGTGTGTATATATATATGTCCTTGTACATATATACATGTATAAATACGTATATATACATACAACCATACATACGACTATGCATATGCAAATGCATATACATGTACATATACATGTACAAGTACATGTACAACTACATGTAAAACATGTACATACACATACACATATACATGAAACATTTACATATATGTATATCTGCATATACAGATACATATCCATCCCCATCCGTATCCATCCATCCATCCATCCATCCGTTCATCCACCCATCCATCCATCCATCCATCCATACATACATACATACATACATAGATACTAGAGCCATGCGCGCTCTTCGCGCGCGCGTAGGTTCTGTCGAGTCACAGACCCAGGAATCGCTGTGACAAGAAATTGGGGACGCGAAGTCGAAGCCAATCTGGCGCCAATCTGGCGGCCCCTATCGAGCAAAAACTGGCAATCTGGCGGGGGAACCAGCGAGGTAACAGACTGGCGAGCAAGTAGAAATCTCCAACTTGGCCACGCCAGAGTGGCCCCTGGAACCCAAGGCAATCTGTCAGTCTGGCCTTCGACTGTCCAGGAGAAAGGCGAGACACTGGAAACGCAAAGTCGTCTCAAAATCGACCCCGGGACTCCGAACGCTCCAACGTTTCGGGCTGCGCCCAGCCGCTGCGACGAGGGGCCCTAGACCAAGGTGCCCCCAGGACTCCCCGGGAAGCTTCGGCGGCGTCCACAGCACCCCTCCTCCTCCTTCTCCTGCTCCTCCTCTTCCTCCTCCTCCCTCTCCTCCTCCTCCTCCTCCTCCTCCTCCTCCTCCTCCTCCTCCTCCTCCTCGTCTTCCTCCTCATCCTCGTCCTTTCCCGAGCGATACAATAACAACTTGCGTGGAACCCCTCTCGGGCCCATCTTGGGGCTCTCTTGGGCCGCCTTTGGAGCCTCTTGGGGCGTCCTGGGTCTCTCGTGGGGCTTCTTGGAGCTCTCTTGGCGCCTCCTGGAGCCTCTTGGGGCCGAAAGCTCGAAATTCTACAGTGGCTTTCTCCCTCTGGGACCCCTCTCGGGCACGCCTTGGGGCTCTTTTAGGCAATTTTGGAGTCCAATTTTGCCATCCTGGGCGCCTCGGGAACCGTCTTGGAACTCTCTTGGGGGCCACCTAGGCCGTCTTGGGAGCCTCTTCGGACGTGTTGGACGCGGTGAAAACCCAACAGGCGACCATGCGAAAAGTATACGTTTTCCCATAGGAATGGGACCATTTTTGCTTCTTGGACCTCTCTTGGGGTGCCTCTCGGAACGTCTTGGGCTGATTTTGGAAGCCTTTTGGCGCCTCTGGGCGGCGTTTTGGCGCCTCCTGGGATGTGTTGGGCCGGAAGCTCGGAATTCGAGAGTGGCTTTCTCCTTCTGGGACCCCTCTCGAAGTCGTCTTGGGGTTCTCTTGGGCCGTCTTGGGGCCGTCCTGAGCCACTCGTGCGCAGCCTTGGAGCGCTCCCGGAGGCCTCCTAGGCCGTCTTGGAGGCCTCTTGGGCCGTCTTGGACGCGGTGAAAGCCCAAGATGCGAACATGCGAAAAATATACGTTTTCCCATAGGAATGGCACGATTTTTGTTTCTTGGACCTCTCTTGGGGTGCCTCTCGGAACGTCTTGGGGTGCTTTTGGGAGCCTTTTGGCGCCTCTTGGCGGCATTTTGGCGCCTCCTGGAGCCTCTTGGGCCGGAAGCTCGGAATTCGAGGTTGGCTTTCTCCGTCTGGGACCCCTCTCGAACTCGTCTTGGGGCTCTCTTGGGCCGTCTTGGGGCCGTCCTGGGCCACTCGTGCGCAGCCTTGGAGCGCTCCCGGAGGCCTCGTAGACCGTCTTGGGCGCCTCTTGGGCCGTCTTGGACGCGGTGGAAGCCCAAGAGGCGAACATGCGAAACATATACGTTTTCCCATAGGAATGGCACGATTTTTGCTTCTTGGGCATCTCTTGGGCTGCCTCTCGGAGCGTCTTGGAGGCTTCTGGGACCTTCTTGGTGTCATGACAGGCGTCTTGGAAGGCATCTGGAGCCATCGGAGCGCGTTCCGAAGCCGCCTGCGAACGATCTTGGACGGCGTCCGGCGGTCCGACGAGCCTCCGGGCCCCCCGGGGCCCACATTTGTGGTCGGGGTCCCGGCCCCGGGCCCCCGGACCCGGTGCGCCGTTATATGTATACATACATTGGAAGCCCCTGGGGGCCTCTTGGGGACAAGCTCGGTGCGAAGACGAAAAACACAAATGCGGTTGACATGTACGCTTTCCGAAGAGAACGGGGCAAATTTTGCCTCTCGGGGCCCTCTGGGGGGTCAAATTGCACGGGTTATGACGCGTCTTGGAGGCCTCGTGTTGGCTGCTTGGGGCCTCGTGGGGGTCTCGGGCGCCCTCTTGGGGCGTGGGGCTGGCAATTCCAATTGGATTGCCCTATCTTGTGCTCCTCTAGGAGCCCTCTGGGAGGCTGTTGGGTCCGTTTTGGGTGCCTCTGGGACCTGCCTGGGACCCTCTTGGGCCGTCTTGGCGCCCTCTGGGGGGCCTCTTGGGCCGTGTAGGGGCAATCTTAGGGACCCCTGAGGTCGTCAAGGCTATTTTTGCTTCTCGGGGCCCTCCTGGGGCAAATTGCACGGGTTACGAGGCGTCTTCGAAGCCTCTGGGGCCGTTGGAGACGTCCCGTGATCCGATCCGTCAAAGCCGTGTTCAGGGTGGTGGGCGGCTGGCTGGGGCCGCCGTGACGCTCATCGGACCGCCCTCCGATGCGATTTTTGGCCCCTCAGTCCGGCCGGGCCCCCAGGCCACACATGTGTGGTAGAGGTCGTGGCCCGTGGGCCCCTGGGCCCCCGGGCCCAGTTGCGGCCCGGTCCGGTCCGCAACCGGACGACCCTCCTTTCCGCCTCCGAGGCGCTCTTCGTGGCCAAGGCTGGCTTTGTCTCGAAATGATTGTCCGAACGCAACCCTGGGCATCGCAGTTTTTTGTTGCATCTTGGGCTGTCTGGGAAGCCTTTTGGGCGTCTCGGGAGGCGTCGGGGGGGGGGTCTTGCGAGTTACGTGGGGGTTCCTGTTGGGCTTCTGAGAGCCCAGGGCTGGAAATGTTCGTTCGGCCCCCTCCTGGACCGCTGGGCTCTTGCGTGCCTCTTTCCAGCCTCCTGGATGCTGCTTGAGGTCGCTTGGGGGCCTCTTGGAAGCCTCTTGGGCTTTCTTGGGGGCCTCTTGGGGCCCCCTCGGAGCATCCTGGACTCCTTCTTGAAGTCGTCTTGGGGCCTCTTGGAGCCTCTTTTGGGTTTCTTGGGGGCCTCTTGGGGCCTCTTGGCGGCCTCTTGGGGCCTCTTGGGGGTTTCGTGGGGGCATCTTGGGGCCTCTTGGGGGCATCTCGGGGCGGAGAGCTTGATTATTCGGTTCGCGTTCCCTCTCTTGGGCTCCTATTGGGACCTTCTTGGGACCTTTTTCCGCCGTTTTGGGCGATTCTAGGGCCGTCTCGGGGCTCTCTCGAGCCGTCTTGGGGTTCTCTTGGCAGCCTCTTGGGCCGTCTTGGAGCGGTCTTGGGAGCCTCTTGGGCGGTGCTTTAGCGCCAGAAACACATAACAACGAGAACGCAAAAAAACATTAGCCTGGCGAAGGACCCAACCATATGCAGCTGTGAGTACCGCTATTGTGAACATCTTCTTCGGTGGCGAGCCCTACGGGGCCACGAACCGTGTGAAGGGGGGTGCCGACATGTGTGGCGGGGTACACGATACGAACGGAAGACGAACCGGATGACGATCGGCCTGAGTATGAAATCTTGAGCGCGGGTGAGTCTGAGCGCGAGTGGGTCTGATTCTGAATGAGTCTGCGTGCGATTGATTCTGTTTGCATGACTGCGAGCATGGATACGCCTAGTGTAAATGTCTCCGGGTGTGAACTCGCGACACTGAATGTAGCCTCCGCAGGGAGCTTCCCTGGGAACCCCGACGGCAGCGCCCGCGCGCCGCGACGCCCATGTCGGCACGCCCCACCGAGGATCGCGCCCGCTTCATCTCCTCATGTTCCTTCCTCTTTGCCCGCGCACTCCAAAGTCCAAGGCTGCGGGCGCAGCGCAACGCGGAGCCCTCGCGACGCGCGCAGGTCGCCCCGAAGGGGTCACAGTGACGCGCGCGGTTCGTCCGCTGTGCAGGGCAGACAGTGCTTGCTGGCTAACTGATAGCGCGCCTGGCTCTGGCCGCTGGAAAAGCGGCGAAGGGCGGGCGAGGCGCTGGGCATAGCGCAGCGCGGAGTTTGCGCGACGCGCGCTGATCGCCCCGAGAGGGTCCCAGCGACGCGCGCGAGTCGTGGACGTGGAGCTCCTTATGGAGCCACGAAACGTGTGAAGGATGTGCCGACATTGGTGCGGTGGCCGCATGCGAACGCAGCCACGGGGGCCTTCGGTGGAGCTCCCTATGGGGCGACGAAACGTGTGAGGGGTGTGCCGACATGGGCGCGGCGCCGCCATGCCAACGCAGCCACTGGGGCCTTCGGAGGGGCTCCCTATGGGGCCACGAAACGTGTGAGGGGTGTGCCGAAATGGGTGCGGCGCCGCCATGCCAACGCAGCCACTGGGGCCTTCGGTGGAGCTCGCTATGAGGCCACGAAGCGTGTAAGGGGTGTGCCGAAATGGGTGCGGCGCCGGAATGCCAACGCAGACACTGGGGCCTTCGGTGGAGCTCCCTGTGGGGCCACGAAGCGTGTGAGGGGTGTGCCGAAATGTGCGCGGCGCCGCCATGCCAACGCAGCAACTGGGGCCCTCGGTGGAGCTCCCTATGGGGCCACGAAGCGTGTGAGGGGTGTGCCGAAATGGGTGCGGCGCCGCCATGCCAACGCAGCCACTGGGGCCTCCGGTGGAGCTCCTCATGGAGCCACGAAGCGTGTGAGGGGTGTGCCGAAATGGGTGCGGCGCCGCCATGCCAACGCAGCCACTGGGGCTTTCGGTGGAGCTCCCTATGGGGGCCACGAAACGTGTGAGGGGTGTGCCGACATGGGTGCGGCGCCGCCATGCTGACGCAGCCACTGGGGCCTTCGGTGGAGTTCCCCATGGCGCCACGAAGCGTGTGAGGGGTGTGCCGAAATGGGTGCGGCGCCGCCATGCCAACGCAGCCACTGGGGCCTTCGGTGGAGCTCCCTATGGGGCCACGAACGTGTGAGGGGTGTGCCGAAATGGGCGCGGCGCCGCCATGCCAACGCAGCCACTGGGGCCTTCGGTGGAGCTCCCTATGGGGCCACGAAACGTGTGAGGGGTGTGCCGAAATGGGTGCGGCGCCGCCATGCGCCCGCAGCCACTGGGGCCTTCGGTGGAGCTTTCTATGGGGCCACGAAACGTGTGAGGGGTGTGCCAAATGGGTGGGCGCCTGCCACGCAGACACTGGCCTTTCGGTGTGAGGCTCCCTATGGGGCCACGAAGCGTGTGAGGGGTTGCCGAGATGAGTGGGCGGCCCGCCGCCCAACGCAGCCCCTGGGGCCTCGGTGGAACGCCTTATGGGGCCAACGAAGCGTGTGAGGGGTGTGCAAATTGGGTGGCGGCGCCGCATGCCAACGCAGCCACTGGGCCTTCGGTGGAGCTCCCTATTGGCCACGAAACGTGTGGGGGTGTGCCGAAATGGGTGCGGCGCCGCCATGCCAACGCAGCCACTGGGGCCTTCGGTGGAGTTCCCTATGGGGCCACGAAACGTGTGAGGGGTGTGCCAAATTGGGCGCGGCTCCGCCATGCCAACGCAGCCACTGGGGCCTTCGGCCGAGCTCCCTATGAAGCCACGAAACGTGTGAGGGGTGTGCCGACATGGGTGCGGCGCCGCCATGCCAACGCAGACACTGGGACCTTCGGTGGAGCTCCCTATGGGGCCACGAATGCGTGTAGGGGTGTGCCGAAATTGGCAGCGGCGCCACCATCCAACGCAGCCACTGGGGCCTTCGTTGGGCTCCCTATGGGGATGGGGCCACGAAACGTGTACGGGTGTCCGAAATGGGTGCGGGCGCCGCCATGCACGCCGGCCAATGGGGCCTTCGGTGGAGCTCCCTTTGGGGCCACGAAACGTGTGAGGGGTGTTCCGAAATGGGTGTGCGGGACGCATGCGGACGGCAGCACTGGGGCCTTCGGTGGAGCTCCCTGTGGGGCCACGAAACGTGTGAGGGGTGTGCCGAAATGGGTGTGCGGGACGCATGCGGACGGCAGCCACGGGGCCTTCGGTGGAGCTCCCTATGGGGCCACGAAACGTGTGAGGGGTGTGCCGGAATGGGTGCGGCGCCGCCATGCGAACGCAGCCACTGGGGCCTTCGGTGTAGCTCCCTATGGGGCCACGAAACGTGTGAGGGGTGTGCCGAAATTGGTGCGGCGCCGCCATGCCAACGCAGCCACTGGGGCCTTCGGTGGAGCTCCCTATGGGGCCACGAAACGTGTGAGGGGTGTGCTGAAATGGGTGCGGCGCCGCCATGCCAACGCAGCCACTGGGGCCTTCGGTGGAGCTCCCTATGGGGCCACGAAACGTGTGAGGGGTGTGCCGAAATGGGTGCGGTGACGAGGGAGGGGGCAGCGGGAGGAAGGAAGGAAGGAGTGAACACGGGGCGCTGTCTCTTCAAAACGAGGGCCCAACACCACAGGATGGTTGGGAATAAGGAAAAAGCCTTCTGGGCGCTTCTTGGGGGCTTCTCGGCGCCTCCTGGAGCCACTTGGGGTCGAAAGCTTGGAATTCGATGATGGCTTTCCTCCTCCGGGGCCCTCTCGGGCCCGTCTTGGGGACTCTCTTGGGCCGTCTTGGGCCCTTCGTGGGCCGTCCTGGAGCTTTCTGGGGCTGTATTGGGGCCCTCTGGGGCGCTGTGCTGGCGAGGAGCAATGGGGGAGCCGCAAGCGGGCGACCCGCCAAAAACACGAAAACAGCAAAACCCGTAAAGACGTAAACCGGACGGCTTCCGCGCAAAGTAGCGCTTTTCCCGCAGTGGCCGACGTGCGCGAAAACGGGAAAACCCGTAAAGTCGAAAACCGGACGGTTTGCGCGTAAAGTTAGAGGAAAAAGAACTATGCACATGCACCGATTCTGGCCAGGCCCATCCTGAGCCCAGGATCGGTGCATACGCCCTCCTACCTTGGCCAGGAAGGCATATGCACCGATCCTGGGTCAAAAATGGGCCTTGCCAAGATCGGTGCATGTGCATAGTTCTCTTCGCCCGAAAAGTAACGGTTTCTCCGCACTGGCCGATTTGCGCGGAAACGGCCCCAGCGTTAAACGCGTAACGAGCCACGTGCTGGTTTACGACTTTGCGCATTTACGCGATTACCGAGCGGGCGGAGGCCAGGGCCGCGGAGGAAAGGAGGAGGTGGAGGAGGAGGAGGAGGAGGAGGAGGAGGAGGAGGAGGAGGAGGAGGAGGAGGACAAGGAGGAGGACAAGGAGGAGCAAGAGAAGGAAGAGACGAATTTAGGACCCCCCTCTTTTGAGCCACGAGGCCCAAAACAGCCCCAAGAGACCTCTCTGACCCCCCCAAAGAGCCCCAAGATTGCCCCAAGAGGGCCCCAAGAGGGCACCAAGAGGGCCCCGCAGCCCACATTTGTGGTAGCGGCGCCGGCCCCGGGCGCCCGGACCCGGTGCGCCGTTATATGTATAAATACGTATGATGGTTTACCATGCTTATACATACACATGCGTGAGATGTTATACCATGCATATGCATACACAGACGTAGATGTGGTATCATGCATATGCATACACATACGAAAACATTGGCACACTGCATGTACATGCACCTACGTAAGATGCTGTACAATGCATGTAGATACATGTACGTATGATACGAGGGCACAAATATTCATAGGTATACGTGTGCTGTGGTCTCAGATATACAGATATACAACCATGCCCCCCTTTGTGTGCATCATACGGGGCGCGCATGGGCTAACATCGCACATGCATAGGGCGGTGTGTCCCGACAGGCGGCTCCACAGCCGGACAAGTGTTTCAAGAGTTTTGTTTCAAGTTGTGTTTCAAGTTTTGTTTCTGGGGCGTTTCAGATTTTGTTTCTGGGACCTGGCCTGGTTTTGTTTCTGGGCCCTGGCCAAGAGTGCCCAAGAGGCCCCCCCGGAGGCCCCAATAGGTCAGAGTTGTGAGGATGTCTCAGGCGGTAGTGGCCAGACCACCTGCTCAGGGCATCTCGCAACTCAGAGTGGCGAGGGTCTCAGGCGGAAGTGGCCAGACCACCTTGGGGCAATGTATCTCCGAAGTCAGAGCTCAGTGCATCTCGGAACCCAGAGTTGCGAGGATGTCTCAGGCGAACGTGCCCGGACCACCATGGGGCAGGGCACCTCCAAGGTCAGAGATCGCAGGATGTCTCAGGCGAGATCGGCATGAACACCTCACCTCAGGGCGTCTCGGAACCCAGCAATGCGAGCATGTCTCAAGCGAAAGTGCCCGGACCACCGTGGGGCAGGGCACCTCCGAGGTCAGAGTTTCGAGGATGTCTCAGGCGAAAGTGGTCTGACCAACTCATGTCAGGACGTCTCGGAACCCAAAGTTTTGAGGATGTCTCAGGCGAACCGGGCCTCCTCCTGCGCTTCCTCCTCTTCATCATCATCCTCCTCCTGCTCTTCCTTCTCCTGCTCCTGCTCCTCCACGTAATTAGTCCTCATCCGCCTCCCCTTGCCCATGTCCCTCCCCGCCTCCTCACTCTCTCTCCCCCTCCTCCTCCTCCTCCTCCTCCTCCTCCTCCTCCTCCTCCTCCTCCTCTTTTTCCTCGTCCTACTCCCCCCCTGTCCTGTCTTCATCCTCCCACTCCTCCTCCCTCCTCCTCCTCCGCTGGCCGAGCCGGGCCGGGCCCAGCCGAGCCGAGCCGGAGGAGGAATAGTCTGATTATGGGGGGGAGGGGGAAGAGAACGAGCAGGAGGAGGAGGAGGAGAAGGAGGACATGGATGAGGTGCTTTTTTCGAAAGGCCGAAACGGTCCTCCCGGTCCCATCCACCTCCTACTCCTTCTAGCTCTACCCTCGGCTCGGATTGCGCTGGACGCCTGCCCGACGTTCACTCCTCCTCCTTCTCCTCCTCCTCCTCATCATCCTCCCTCCTCCTTCCCGGGTGCCCGGGATATGCCCGGACGCCCGGGTGCCCGGGTGCCCGGGTGCCCCGGTGCCCGGGTGCCCCGCGGTGCCCGCGGGTGCCCGGGTGCCCGGGTGCCCGGGTGCCCGGGCCCCCGGTTGCCCGGGTGCCGGGATGCCCAGGTGCCCGGATGCCCGGGTGCCGGGATGCCCGGGTGCCCGGATGCCCGGCAACCGTGCCCGGGTGCCCAGGTGCCCGGATGCCCAGGCGCACGGGTGCCCGGGCGCACGGGTGCCCGGGCGCCCGGTTGCCCGGGTGCCCGCCCGGATGCCCGGGCGGAGGAATAGTCTGATTATGCGAGCTAGACGTGGCCGCGCCGAAGCCTGCGGAACTCTTCCTCTCGGGGGCCTGCGCTCCACATCCCGGACTCTGCGGGGCCAACTCTCGGAAACCATTCAGGGGGGGGAGTGCACATGAGCAGAAGGGAACATTAGAGAAAATGCGCATTCGGAAACCCTCTTAAACGAACAGGCCCGCCTGCAGCATCTGCAGGTTTCTCACAGACGGAAACTCGCCACCCCTGGGCCTCGAAGCCGCGGCCCAGGCGACGTGTAGCGCCTCCCTGCCCGCCTCGCCGATGCCTGCGTTGCCACTGAGCACGAGGCGCTTCAGCGCCGGCAGCGCACCCGGAAAGGCCAGCGACTCTGCCAGGCTCTGCGCGCCCCGATCGCCGATGACGTTGCCCTCGAGGTTGAGGACCTCCAAGGCTGGCAGGGTGCCTGGCATGGCCGCGACCGCTGCCAGCCGCGCGGCGCCCTCGTCGCCGACGCGATTGCCAGCAAGAACAATCGCCCGCAGCGCCTTCAGCGCGCCCGGCGCGGCCGCTGCTTCTGCAAGTCGCGCGGCACCCTGGTCGCCAACGGCGTTATGGTTGAGAAACATGCCCTGTAAGTTCTGCGGCCCGCCTGGGGCAGCCAGCGCGTCCGCCAGCCTGGCGAGCCCGCTGTCACTGATACGATTATTGTAGAAAGTTAACCCAACCAGATTGGGCGTGCCGCAAGCAATCAGGTCGGCGACCTGGCCCGCCTCGGAGTCGCCCCACCCACGCGAGTGATAGTTGAGGTCCTCGACAGCATGTATGCGAGACGCGAGCGTGTTGGAGTAGAGCTTGGCGACCCTGAGCCTGTCGACGCTGTCTGTAGTAAACCTTTTGCTCTCGAGACTCGCCTCAAAGGCCTCAGAGGTGACTGGGGCGGAGCGTCTCGTTGCACATGTGCTTGCCAAACAATTGTTGCTGATTCTATTCACATCCTCGCCGACGAACTCCAGAAAACTGTCCTCCGCTCCTGTGGCCCTCCCGAGGTCCAAGATGAGCGTGGGGTACTTGACCATGGTGGCGCAGGTAAACTCGAAGAAACACCAACCTCGGTCCATATACGAGCTCACGTTTCCCGAGCCGTCGTACACGCCAGGGTCATCATAGTCGGGCGGAAACTGTGTCAACATCAGAACGATGATCTTCGGGTGTGAGTAGTAGCTCCCGAGTGAATCCAGGGCCTCTCTGAATAACGTCTCCTCCCGAGCGAAACGGCCGACGGCCCTGTTCTCAAAACCACGGTCGTCCGAAAGCCACTTGAAACTTCTCTGCTGCGGCATGCCTTCGCGGTCTCGACAACACTGGTGCAAGCAACAGAAATCCAAACACGTCGCCCAGGTGCCCGACGAGAACATATCGCTGCGACACAGTAGTGCCAGGGCTCTTGCCAAGACCCGTAGATTGTATCCACGCGGGTCTGGGTGCTGCGACTGGAGCCAACAATGTGATACGCATGCAATGCGCAATATTTCGCCGAAGACTCCCTCGTTGGTCTTGAATGACCTCTTGCTCGTTTCCGGTATCTGCTGAGTAGCCGCTCTCACCATGCTGTGGGGCGTGAAAGCGGCTGCCGGCAGCGTCTGCCGCGGCAAGAAGGTGCCCCCCGATCTTGCCAGCTGAACCAGCCAGCCTGCGTCCACGAGAAGCATGGCACCGCTCGCGAGCGTCGGGTCGAGCTCCAAGCCACCGCGCTCGACCCACAACTGTTGCCTCTCCTCGGGCACGTCCACCTCCTGCAACTGGGGCAAATGTGGTGGGCCGTCGTCGGGAACCGACAACCACTCCGCGGCCTGCACTGTACCTTCTAAACACTGGCACGCAGCGCAGAGCACCATGAGACCTCGGTTCGAACGTGCAGCCGAAAGCCAGCGGGAAGACACGTCAACAAATGATCTCTGCTCGCTTGAGCTGTTGGGAGCTCTTAAGCCAACACAGCTTGAACTGAACTCTCTATGGGGGCCTCTTGGAAGCCTATTGGGAACCTCTTTGGGGCGTGGTGGGGTCGTCCTGTAGCCATCTGGAGCTGTCTGGGGCAGTTTGAAGGTCATCTGGGGCCGTCTTGGCGGGCTCGAGGACCATCCCGCAGCCATGTTCGGCCGTCCCGGAACCATCGTGAAAGGTTTGGGGGGGTCCAATGGACAGCCTTGGGTATCTCTGGTAGTCTAAGGCTATTGTGAGACCATCCTGAGTCCTCAGATGCCTTTTTGGAGCGAAAGGGCGAGGCATTCAAGCACCTATGGTTGTCCTACGATGTTTGAATGATTTGGGTCTCCTGGGGGGCCTCTTGGAAGCGTCTTGGGGGGCCTCCACGGGCCGTCTCGGGACCATCTTGAACTGCCTGGGGCCGTCTTGAGG